CCTGGAGATTGGCAAATATCTGTGTAGACTTAGATTTTCAAACCAGTGTAAAAGAACTTGCTCGAAAACGACGTTTTGTTTTACATGATAAATGAAATGTTGAGATATATTTTAGACTATTTATGTCCTTGGTCATTACTTATGCGTTTTTTTTTTATTACTCGTACCAGAGTAAGCTTTTCTTCTCCAACTTCATTAAATTGTAACTGCTTGTGACACGTAGCAGCAGTGGATTATTCGGAACATCTCATTCGACACGCCTGTGGCTGTTACTGGAGCTTTCTGGTGCATCTGGTTCAGTGTAGCCAAGGCCTGGCCACTGCTCGGATTAGTCATTAGCTCTGTGCTGAAGAGTAAGAGTAGAGAAGAGAGCAGATAGTAAGTGCTTCACCTGCAGATGATATGTGTTGATGTCACTTTTCCCCATTATACCATTGCATCACCTTCAATAAGTGACAAAATAACCTGCTCTGACTGTGACAAGCTGCAATACTGGCGCAAAATTAAGCAAAAACATCTTCCAAGACCATCAGGCGATTAGCATCTGTTTTGCAGCTCCTTAAAAGGTATTGCTGAACGTTGCTTTCCTTCTGTTTAGTCTACACAACTAAAACTTAATACACTCATTTGTTTCTGTACCCGATTGCACAATATTTCTTTACCATTTTAGCTGTGGTTTTGATGTTTGTTTTCTCAGGAAAAAATGCTGACTAATGTTCCACTGTGCTGACTTCTGCATATTATATTCACACTTCTATAGATTTTCTGACTTTGGAGATGAAGTGTCAGAAGCTTAAACCAACAGTTGATTTTACCAAATCTATTTTTTTTAAACTGCACTGGTGTATATTAAACACGTTGCAAACTTGTGAAACACTGTGAACACAATTAACCGTCCAACAGCCAAATTCAGTCCATATGAAGCAGACATTTCTCATAAAACAACAACAAAAAAAAAAAAATCATGGGAGTTGGACAGAAGAAATGAACCAGGAAAGAATAAAACGAAGTGCAGAGAGCTGAAGATGGTTGAGTGCATCTATTTTAGCTGATGCTGTGAATTTGCGTCCATTGGAGATTTTTAGCGCTACAGTGCCACTTGACTGAGCCAGCAGAGAGAGGCTTACATGCGGATCAAACACAAACCCTCAGCTCGTGGCTCCCGATTGTCTGTTGGTGCGTCAGGATCATCCTGAGATGCTGGTTCCGCGGCATCGGCGATCACATGCCTCTGATATCTCACTGTCACACAGTTCAGACATTTGCCAGGAGTCAAGCCGCATGAAGGTTCAGATGAACCTCAAGGTGAAAATTACATTTCTGTTTAATCACACATATGGTTCGGTCCTTGTGTGATTATGTGGAGAGATTTTAGTTGAAAATGTCTCCATTAAACAAAATCAATATGGCGTATTGGTTTGTGCCATTTATAGCTGAGCAGAAAGGTTTCACCCTACACAGTTTGCTCTCGTATGTTTAGCTCAATTAGGAACCTGCTGAGCGGGGACACCTTTTCATTTTTCACCAGGACTTCAACCTAAGGGAACGACAGCCGTGACTGACACTCAAGTATTATTCATGTGCTGTTAATGGGTGAAAGTTAGAGAAGGGAAACTGCCATATGATGGAGGAGACATGATAAAAAAGAAAAATGGAAATGTGAGCAGTGAAAAACTATTGATCATTTTTGAACCATTAAAGGTTATCAGAAGTGCAACACGACACACCAGAGACAATATCAATCTTATCCCTCTA